GTCTCTACTAAAAATACAGAAAAAATTAGCCAGGTGTGGTGGCAGGTGCCTGTAATCCCAGCTTTGAGCCCAACACCACATCTGCCCGCCCAGCCCAGCTCGCCCTCCTGGGTTTGGAAAATGGTACCCATGATCATTTCCTCTCTCCGGGGTGGCCGTGTTAGTTTCCTATGGCTGCTGTAACAGATGACCACACACTTAGTGACTTAAAATACAAACTATTCTCATAGGTGTGGAAGTCAGAAGGCCATCACGGGCTTCGCAGGGCTACACTCGAGGTTTCAGCAGGGGCGGCTCCAGGAGGGAAGCCATCCCCTGCCTTTTCCAACCTTGGGAAGCCACCTGCATTCCTTTGTCACAATCCCATCCTCCATTTCCAAAGCCAGCCGTGTGGCATCTTCTCACCTCTCTCTGACTCTGGCCCTCCTGCCTCCCTCTTGTCACAACCCCTGTGGTTACACTGGACCCATGGATAACCCAGGGTCATCTCCCCATCTCAAAGTCGCTCACTTAATCACATCTGCTGAGTCCCTTTGCCACACAGCATCACAGATTCGCAAGTGCTTGGGATGAGGACGGGAAAATCTCCGAAGGGTGGAAGGGCCATGATTCTGCCTCCCACAGTTGTGAGAATCAAAATAAGATGTAAACTATCAAGTCCGTGCTGGTGTAGGCTGTTGGTATTGTTGCACCATCTCTTTCCCAGGCACTGGGATAAAAAACGAGTGAGGCAGAGTCCTACCACTTGCTTCAGGGATAAAGGGAGGGATGTCACAGGATTCCTTGAAGGCATATTTATACCAAGAACAAGTACGCCAAACAGGTACCCTGCATGTACCTTTCTCAAGGGAGAGGCCGTGTGGGTCCCAGGGGTCTGGGATCTAAAGGTCCCAGCTCTGATACTGAACCTGGAAGCCCTTATTTCCACCCTCAGCGGAGGAAAAGAAGGAAAGAAAAGACAAAACCCAGCTTTTCCAACTTATAATTTTGACCAGGGACCTTTAGAGAAAGATTTTTAATGGAAAGAAGGACCTGGTCCCCATAACCCTCCCATGCAGGATAGCTGGTATCTGCCAGGCCTTCCGTCCCACATGGACCCTGCAGGACAGGGCACAGGAGGCTCAAAGGCTCTGGGTTTGGGACATAGTACATGTAAGGAGCAGCCCAAGATTCCAAACAACGCCAGCTAGGTTTGTACAATCTGAAAAACCTTGAAGATTTCCTCCAGACATGTGGGGCCACTCCAGCCTTGCTGACCTGCCCTTCCCAAGAGCCCCTGTGTCCCCCCAACCCAACAGCCTCAGAAGCCACAGGCCACCAGCACCCTGTTTCCATCTTGTGTCAACACTGCTTCGCTGAGCCTGGTCTCCTCTTGGCCTGATCCTCTCAGCCTCGATACATCTAGGGAGGATGAGTCTCCTTGTCCTTTCCAAGAATCCGGCTGCCCCATTCCTTTTCCTGGCTCCAGGACCCAATGAGAGACACTGGCAAACAGGCAGCACACTTCATCTTATCCAGAAAAGCCCAGGAATGGGTAGCCCAGGTACCTTTGGGGAGCCCATGAGAATCCCTGCGACCACGGCCAGTAGCCAAAATCCTGACCCACAGAAAAGTGCTGAGGTCACAGGGGGATAAAGGCAAAACTAAACAGGAAAAGCAAACAATTCCAGAGGGGCCAAGTACATGGGGCTATTGCACTCAGAGGTGAGGGGTGCAGAAACACAGGAAGCCAGCATCTGCAGGGCTCACGTTTCCTGGCTACTGCTGGGCACTCAGGGCTGCTCTTTCAACCATGACTCCCTAGTGAGAGCTTAGGGTAGACATGAGTGCACACACTTCAGAGTCCACCAGGAGAAGCAAACCCTGCAGGCCCCAGTAGACAGCTTTTAGGGCAAACAGGCCTAGTCCCAGCCCTGCCATTTACTAGCTCCATGAAATTTGAGTAAATTGCTTCAGTTCTCTAAGCCTTCACTGCTCACCTGCAAAATGGGCATATTCACTAGTCCTTTTCTTCTAGGGCTCCTAGTGGTACAAGTAATAAGATAACATGGGTCAGGTGCAGTGGTTCATTCCTGTAATCCCAGCACTTTGGGAGGCTCAGGTGGGTGGATCACCTGAGGTCAGGAGTTTGAGACCAATCTGGCCAAAATGGTGAAACCCCATCTCTACTAAAAATATAAAATTTAGCTGGGCATAGTGGCAGGTGCCTGTAATCCCCACTACTCGGGATGGTGAAACCCCATCTCTACTAAAAATACAAAAATTAGCTGGGTGTGATGGCAGGTGATCCCAGCTACTCAGGAGGCTGAGGCAGTCAGCCGGTGCAGTGTATTATATAATATTATATATTACATAATATTAATATATAATATATAATACAATAAATATATAATATATAATATAATAGTATATTATAATGTAACAATATTATATTATTATTTAATAATAATAATATAATATTATTATTTTGAGATGGAATCTTGCTCTGTCACCCAGGTTAGAGTGCAGTGGTGTGATCTCGGCTCACTGCAACCTCCACCTCCCAGGTTCAAGCAATTCTCCTACCTCAGCCTCCCTGATAGCTGGAATTACAGGCACGCACCAACACACCCAGCTAATTTTTGTATTTTTAGTAGAGACGGGGTTTCACCATGTTGGCCAGGCTGGTCTTGAACTCCTGATCTCAGTGATCCACCCACCTTGGCCTCCCAAAGTGCTGGGATTACAGGCGTGAGCCACCGCGCCCAGCCTGACATGCCATTGGTATTCTCCTTGCTTCCACAGAGACACAGACCCCTCTTCCTTCTGTCCATCATTCATTCAACAAGGACATCCTTGGCACTCACCCTGTGCCTGCCCCTGTGCTAAGCCATGAGGTTTGGCAGCAAACACAACATCACCCTCCAAAAAAGTCAAAAAGTCCCTGTCCCCACAGAGGCAATTGCTGGTGGAGAGACACACCTGCACACTCCTCCGCCCTCACAAGATCTCTGTGTCGGGGGAGCAAAGAGGAGGCTCTTTTTGCTCTGCTCCCATGTCAAGGGAAGGGGCCTCACCAGGAATCACGCACCAGGCACTGCCTCCCATGGCTCCCCAGGAGGGACCCATGGAACATTCCACTGACTGCTTAGACGCCACTCTCCTAGGAGTGCAGAGATCATCTCTGAGTGGGCAAAATTCTTATTTCAAAAAATGTACACATAGATCATTCCTATGAAGCCAGACACACTCTCTCACCAGAAACCAGGGCATGAACTCCCGGTGACAGGGAAGGACAGTGGCCAAGCACCTGGCCTCGGTGTCAGAGGAGCCTTGGTCTCTGTTCTAAATAAGCATGTACTTCTCTACCTGGAACCCTGGGCACATCACCTAACTCCTGGGGTCTCCAGGAGAGTGGCTTGAAGGAGGCGAGTGTGTGGGTACCCGGGTGGACGTGTGCTCTCCACCCTGTGTGCCAGCCCTGTGCCTCTGCTCAGGGACTTCCTCCACAGGCACTCCCCCTGCCCCTCTGCCATCCTGAATGGTGAACTTCCACTTGCTTGCTGAGCCAGGACCTGGTCCAGAAGTCTCCCCTGACGGCCCCACCCCTGCTCCCCTCCAGACAGCATCCCAGCTCCCTGGGCATCCGTCTCTGTCCCGCTCTGATGCATCTGCATCTCCCACCACAATTACCTTCTCCACAACTTCCCTCCTGGCCCACCCTGGAGAATTCAATCCCTTGGGAGATAACAGCCGTCAGGGACCTTCCCAGCCCAGGTGCAGGACGAATGGCTGCTGATTCATTTCAGGTCCCTAATCAGGGAGGAGAGAGGCTGGCCCCTAATTCTGACCTTAATTATACAGTAGCAGGCTCAGCAGAAACCACTCCCTCAGTCTACCCACTCTGGACAGTAAATGAGCACATGTAAGAACTTCTCCTCCAGGGGCCTGGGCCTGCAAGCTGCATCTCTGAAACCTCCCACTGGGTGACACCTGCCTGAGAATTAACCCCTCTTGCTCAGTTTGGGGCACCCCAGGAAGACAAAGGGGGACTCAAACATGCCTCCCCTCACCAGGGTAGACAGGATTTAAACTCGGGGTCCCAGAAACCTGGGCCATTCATTTGGAGTCTAGACCCCTCCACTGCTTGGGCAAGGAGGCTCTAAGCACCTGGTCCTGAGAGGCCTCAGCTCCCACCATGCCTAGCTGCCCAATTACCCTTCCATCCCAGACCTGACTCGCAGAAGACAAAGAAGAACTGTGATAAAAAAGCAAGTGCCTTGATGAGGCACCTACCACGAGGCCGGGGATCTTACCCAATGGCCCATTTCACATATGAGAAAACCGAAGCCCAGGGGGACTTGACTGAAACGAGGACCTGTGGCCAGTGTGGGGGCCACAGACAAGATGCAGGCCCTCACCCCAACATCCAGGGTCCTGACCACTAGGCTACACTGCCTCTGACAGGCTCCCAGGCACAGAGGGCAGGGTCCCTAACAGCAACTGTCATAGGAATGGGAATGGCATTAGCAAGACAAATGGCAACTGCAAAAACAATTCCAATGGGCTGCACCCTCCAACCCCAAACCCCCCCCACCTCCCCCAAACCCCCCTCACACATGCACACACTAAGCACCAGGCAGCCGTAGCTTCTCCAGGACAAACCCAACAGAAGGAGTGCTCTTACTGTGTCCCTTTCACCTGCGAACAGACTGACACTGAGAGAGTTCCTGTGACTCCTCCAAGGCCACACAGCTACGAGGGGCAGAGGTAGGGTTTGGAGCCTCGCCTGCCTCCTGCTGTTTTCACAGGCTTGTGGGCAAAATAAAGGAAAAAGTACCACGAGTTTCAGGAACTGACCTCTTCCCCCAGGCACAGGGCCTTGATGAAACGATGAAACGCTTTCCTCCTTACCCAAACACCAGTCAGGTCCTCTGGGCCTCAGCTCCAACCCATCCCCACCCGCTGCCCAGTGCCTCCTTGTTTCCAACCGCCAAAGCAAAGGAGCAGGGTTCACTTACTCTGTGCTGGGCGGTGCAGCCACTGAGTTTGGGTCTGCAGAAGAAGAGCAGAGAGAGAGCCCGTCAGGCCAGAGGCTGGCCCCAAGCACTCAGCCCTTCCCCGCCCCTTTCCCAGCCTCCCCAGGGACGCTGCAGACAGGGCCCGGACAGCCTGGGTGCCTGCTGAGCCCCGCCTCCTTCCCCCAATCCTGGCTCAGTCATCAGCTCCCCTACCTGGCCTGCACCACCCCCACCCACCCCGTGGCCCACATCCCAACTCCAGCCAGAACCCAGGGCAGCCGCCCTGCCTGCTCTGGGCCTGCCCTCCACCCCCAGCTGCTCTGGGAGCTCGCTGTCCCCAAGCCTGCAGGAAGTTCCAGCTGGTCTGGTCCCCAGGATAACAGAATCTAAGAGCCCAGAAGCTGCCATTTAACACCAGCTTATCAGGGCCCTCCTGCCCCCCAGGGTTGCCAGCTCCCCAAGGCAGACAGAAGAGGGGACCTCTGGGAGGCTGCTCTTCTGGCTGGTGTGGATTCTTTAGGAGAAGCTGCAGGGATGACTTCAGAGACATGAGCCCTGGGCAGCAACTGTCTCCAAAGCAAAACTCAGGCCAACCACTTCCATTTACAATGTGCCAGAGTGCGCCAGATGTTGCAGGAATGCTAGGAATTTCAAACTCCCAAGGGAAGCAACCGACTCTAGCTTCTTCCCAGTGGCTTTTCCCTTCGTGCTTTCTGGGGACAGCGGAGGGAACACCAGGCATTCCGGGGAGCCTGGAGCTTCCGCCCAGTTCTTACTGCTCCCTGTAGCCCCAGGACCGGAAGTTCCCAGAAACATCTTACCAGTGACAGGGCTGGAGTCAAAGTGGATCAGTGGGGGTTCTGCATCCCTCTTGGGAGCAAGGCCTGGGACACCCAAGCCTGTGCTGGTGTCCTCTTCATCATCACTGTCGTCAAACTCAAAGGCATCTCCTGGGTCGTCCTCCGCCTCGGAGGAGGGGCCTGGGGCTCCTGGAACCAGCTGATCTCCTGGAAGAGAGGAGGAGTTGGCCAAGCTGCAGGATCTTGGAGGTTTGGTCAATGGACAGACAGCTAGGGTAGGTGGGCATGGGCTGGAACGGGGTGAGCACCTCAGGTCTGAGCTGGGGAATGAGAGCCATCAAACCCAAGCCGGATGGCCCTACTTGCCTGAAAGGCCAGGGGAGGGGATTGGGTTAGGTCTCTAAGCAAGTGGCAGTGGAGGAAAGGAAGTGAGTGTGCTCTCGGGGCGAGCCCGTGCATATCAGTACTTCGATGTATATCTTTCCTCTTATTTCCTATTGCCCTGTTTTGCAAGCAAGGTGGTCTTTTTAAATGAGTGTATATGTATGAACACAAGTCTTCTTGTATGTTTCTGTGTTGATGTGTCTGTGTGCTTTGTGTGTGCAAATGAGCACAGACGGGCACATCCTTCTCGCTACACTTGATTTGGTATGTGCAGCGGCATGAAACACAGCTGCCTGGAAATGCCCAGGCTTGGAGGCAGCCAGCTCTCAGGTACTAGGACACAGACTCGCTGGGGCAGAGGAAGGCACTGAGCTCCCAGCATGGAGGTCAGCTCGCTAGGCCTCATTTCCTGCTCTTCCCCTCCTGGGGGGCCCCCTTCCTGACTATGAACTCCTGTCTTCCTTACCCATAAAAGCTCAATTCAAGTAGAGAGACCCTCCTTGCCTACTACAGGAGGCGTGGCCTCTCTTCTCTGCCCCGCCCCTTGTTTGTACCTCCCACCAAGCTCAAATCCCTGAGAGCAGACATCTCACGGGTCTGTCCCCTCTACTATCGGGTCCTGGACTGGCCCAGACTAGGAGCTCAGCCGCTTTTGTTGAACAAGCGAAGGAATGAATTCTCTATCCCAGAGAGCACAAGCCCTCACCTTTCCAGCCATTTCACCACATGGAGGTTCCCCAATCCTCATCCTAGAAGATTTCCTTCCTTGCCAGGCGTGGTGGCTCATGCCTGTAATCCCAGCACTTTGGGAGGCCAAGGTGGGCAGATCACGAGGTCAGGAGTTCAAGACTAGCCTGGCCAACATGGTGAAACCTCGTCTTTACTAGAGATACAAAAAATTAGCCAGATGTGGTGACACGCACCTGTAATCCCAGCTACTTGGGAGGCTGAGGCAAGAGAATCACTTGAACCTGGGAGACAGAGGTTGCAGTGAGGTGAGATCGTACCACTGCACTCCAACCTGGTGACAGAGTGAGACTCCATCTCAAAAAAAAAAAGAAAAAAAAGACTTCCTTCCTAAACTCTGGGCTGAACAGAACTTCAGGAGTTCAATCACTCCATGCCCTGTCTTATGCAAACCCACTGCAAAACCAGCTGGCAGTTTGGTTCTGTTTTAATCATCTGCCAAGCTGACCGCCCTAAGCAGTCCTGTCATGGCACATGCCACACAGCTTAGAGCATGAGCTCTGCACTCACATGGCCCTGTCTGAGCTCCCCGCTAGCTGTGTGGTTCTGAGCAAGTCACTTTACCTCTCTGAACTTGGTTTCCTCTCCTGCAAAGTGGAGAATAAAAACAGCATTTTCCCCGTAAGGCTGACATGAACATCAACTGGGATGCAGGTTAGGGTTCTCTACCTCAGAACTATTGACACTTGGACTGGATAATTCTTTTTTGGGATGGCAGGGGCTGTCCTGTGCACTGTAGGACGGTTAGCAGCACCCCTGGCTTCTACACACTACAGTCCAGGGGGACCCTCCAGCTGTGACAACCAAAAATGTCTGCAGACATTGCCATATGTCCCCCGGGAGGGCAAAATCGCCACTATCTGAGAACCACTGGGGTAGGTGTAGCCCTCAGCACAGCACCTGTAGATGTAAGGATTATGACAATAACAGCTGTTGGAATTACTCTTCCCCTCCCAGCCTCAGACCCTTGAGGACAAACAGGATTTTCTAGTCCATGGGTCTGCGGACCCAGCCCCAGCAATTGCTCAATAAACATTAGACAGATGGATGAGTGATGGGTGAGGAGGTGGCTGGAACACAGATGAACAGACAGGCCAGCAGATGGACAGATGGACATATCTGATTCCAACAGTCTCTCGAACTAGAAAAATCTATTCCTGTAATCCCAGCACTTTGGGAGGCAGAGGCGGGTGGATCATGAGGTCAAGAGATTGAGACCATTCTGGTCAACGTGGTGAAACCCCGTCTCTACTAAAAATACAAAAAATTAGCTGGGCACGGTGGCGCGTGACTGTAATCCCAGCTACTCAGGAGGCTGAGGCAGGAGAATTGCCTGAACCCAGGAGGCGGAGGTTGCGGTGAGCCGAGATCGTGCCATTGCACTCCAGCCTGGGTGAAAAGAGCGAAACTCCGTCTCAAAAAAAAAAAAAAGAAAGAAAAATCTATTCACTCCCTGACAGTGAATAGATACTAGGCTCCCAGAGCACAGTATTTTGGGGGCAGATGTAGGAAACCCCTTCCTCAGCTGCTTGACTGCAATGAAAGTCCAGAGCATACCCTCCCTCCCCAAAGGGAGAAGTGCCCAACTTCCTCTGAGGCCACAGAGGAGGAGACACAGCCGCTCCTCCTGGGGCTTTAGGGATCCCATAGGCCAGGACAGCAGGGGTGGACTCTGGGCAGTGATGTGGCCTGTAGCACTAACTCCTTCCCCAGGTGTCAAGAAACAAGTCCTGAGAGAACCTAAGCTGTGCCCAGAGCAGCTTCCTGAGCCAGCCTCGGGATCACCTCCATTTACCCAAGACCCCAGAGACGGAGGCAAAGCAATGCCTGCCGTAAGCCGCTAAGGGGATGGGAATGAACCGGAACCCAGCTCCATTCACCTTTCATACACTTCTACCTAAGCCCTGTGGGTTCCGGAAGCAGCTGGAGCCCTCAGACATTCTGCACTGGGTGGTCAGGCTTTGGTGGAAGCTGGATCTGTGTCCTTCAGATTGCAGTTCCCAACCCGCTGGTGACTCAGTTCAATTAGGGGATTCCCGATCAACTAAGTAACACCAATCATTTGGTGCTTGGATTGCTTCCTTCAGATGCTCCTAGACATTTGCTGTATTCTAATATTAATAAAATCATATGGGTGCTCTTTTTGGTATTATAATACCAAATAAAATACATTTGGTATTGAATTATTTCAACACCTCAGTCCTCAAGGATCTGAGGCTGGGAGGGGAAGAGTAATTCCAACAGCTGTTATTGTCATAATCCTTACATCTACAGGTGCTGTGCTGAGGGCTACACCTACCCCAGTGGTTCTCAGATGTTTAAAAAGTAATGTATTGTTTATAATAATGTATTAGATAATACATTAAAATAATGTATTAAAAATAATGTGATACTAATGAATTCACCTCAGTATAATTTCAATACTGGTTTTGACACTTCTGTTTCAGTTATATACCCGTTGGGTAGGGGTGTGTGTGTGTGTATGTGTGTGTGTGTGTGAGCGTGTGCGCACAGGCACATGCATACGCTCATAGAATTTTCTGTTCATCCCTTGCTCCCTCCACTCCAGCCACATTGATCTCCTTCCTGTACCTCGAATGTACCAGGTGTGCTCCTCCCTCAGGACCTCTGCACTTGCAGCCCCAGAGCCTGGAATGTTCCCCCCACAGGTATCTTCTCCAGCTCTCCCCTCTTGCAGGTCTTTACTGCTCATCATCTCTCTGCACGCTGCCACAGAGCCTGATGAGACTGCCGGTTTGCCCTGTTTTACCTGTCTCTACGGCTGCTGTCAGCATATGATGCTATATGTTATTTGTGTTGCTGTCTGTCTCCTCCACTAGAATATAAGCTTCATGAGGGCAGGTATTTTTGTCTGTTTTGTTTACTGTTACATCCTCAGCATCTAGTGCAATGTCTAGCATATAGTAGGCGCACACACACACACACACACACGCATCCCTGTTGTCGCATCTATGGGTGATAGTTTTAAAAGTTTAAAACATAGGCTGGGCACTGTGGCTCACACCTGTAATCCCAGCACTTTGGGAGGCTAAAGTGGAAGGATGGCTTGAGCTCATAAACTTGTGACCAGCCCTGATAACCTGGTGAGACCTCGTCTCTACTAAACATGAGGAAATTAGCTGGGTGTGGTGGCATATGCCTGTAGTCCCAGCAACTTGGGCTGTGGTGAGGGGATCACTTGAACCCAGGAGTTCAAGGCTACAGTGAGCTGTGATTGTGCCACTGCACCCCAACCTGGGTGACAAAGCGAGACTCTGACTCAAAAAAATAAATAAAGGTAAACATTTTTAAAATAATTTTTAAATCAGCTGGGCGTGGTGGTGTATGGCTGCAGTCTCAGCTTCTCAGGAGGCTGAGGCAGGAGGATGGTTTGAGCCCAGGAGTTCAAGGCTGCAGTGAGCCATGATCACACCTTCATACTCCAGCCTGGGTAACACAGCAAGATCCTGTCTCAAAAAACAATTTTTTTTTAATACTGGAATAAATGACCATAAAGTCACTACCCACTATTTTAGCGGTACCAGATATAGGCCCATCCTGACTTATATAGGGCTTTCTTAGCCTCTCAGTGCCCCGGTTCTTGCCCAAGTGAATCTGCTGGGCAGGAAGTTGGTATGGGGGTTTCCCTTTATACATGGATGGTGTCACTGCCATGAGTAAGGTTTCAGAGTCATACCACTCAGGTTCAGCTAAGACTCCAGCTTGCCCAGGTACCAGCTGGATGGGTGTCAGGTTGTTTGATCCCTCCCGGTTTCCTTGTCTGTAAAATGAGGACAATAACAGCAAAACCTCCTGGGGTTGTTGAGAGGATGGACTGAATGAATGTAGAGCACCTGGTGCAGGGTGCGTGGCTCACCAAATGTTAACTATTTTTCCAATGATGATCGTGCCTCTTATCATCACCATCGCTACACCATCACTGTCATTCATTACCACCATTATCACTGTTATTGTTATGATTACAGCCTTGTCATGGCCCAGTCCCTGCTGATGGGTGAGAAGGGCAGTCCTCTCCAACTCACAGGCCAGGACCGGCCTCAGGCGACCCTGTCCACAGCCATGTCCAGGGGCTCAGGTCACTTCTACACCTCCTTTTTTGTTGTTGTTTTGAAATGAAGCTCACTCTGTCACTCAGGCTGGAGGGCAGCGGCGCGATCATGGCTTACTGCAGCCTTGACCTCCTGGGCTCAAATGATGCCTCTACCTCAGCCTCCCAGGTAGCTGAGACTACAGGCATGCGCCACCATGCCCAGCTAAATTTTTTTTTTTTTTTTTTACATTTTTTGTAGAGATAGCAGTTTTACTGTGTTGCCCAACTTGGTTTCAAACTCCTGAGCTCAAGTGACACTTCCCAAAGTGCTGAGATGACAGGCATGAGCCACTGTGCCTGGCCTACACCTCCTCCCTGTAAGAGTACAAATAGCTTCAGTTACCCATGCATCCAGTGAGCAGCTCCCACCCTCCAGTAGGCAGGGAAGGAGAAGGAGAGGTAAGAAACAGTCCCAGGGGAGGCGGGGGGCACCGTGGGCTCCCCTCTGGAGCTCACTTTGCAGCTGGTGGGGCAGAGCCAGCAGGAGAAAAACCTAAAACCTCAGAGACTGAAACAGCACCAAGAGAAAGGGGCTAGGACTCCCTGGGGCTTCTGGAAGGGCTTCGAGGATGAGGCTGCCCTTGCACTGAGCCTTGAAGGATGAGAAAAGGCCTGACAGTCTCCCACGAGAGCGTGGATTCCAGGCTGAGGCCGCAGCAGGGACACAGAACAAACACCAGGTGGCCCGGGGTGTGAAGACACCAGCGAGGATAAAGGTGTTGACAAGGTGCGTGGGGGAATCCCCTACTCAGGAATTGGAATTTAATTTGGGAAGACAAAGGGAAGCTCTCAGAGAATGAGAAAATGCCAAAGAGCTGGCTTCACCCAGATGATACCAGCCAGCAATATCAGAAAGAGCAGGAACAATAAATGTTTGTCAAGCATTTGCTGAACAGAGCAGAATTGACTTAGTCATTACAATTTTTTGTTCTCACTCCTCATGTTCAGGTTCAGCCCTCTTGGTGGGGAGGAGAAAGGAAGCAGGTGCCCATGGCAGCAGGGGTGGAAAGGGGTAGGGCCATGCAGGGACCTAAGTCCCAGTTGGGAATCAGGAGATGAGATGTGCTTGTCCCCAAGGCCACCTTCTACCTTCCCCCCAGGCAATCAGATATTGCTCCTTACGAGAAGGAAAACTCAGGAGGACCATCCCAGCACAACTGAGAGCTCAACAGAGCCCTTCCCAACCACCTGCACAGGTGGCACAGCCAGAGCTAGTCCCTCATGCCTCTCCTGTTCCTGGACACACCCGGTCCTTACGAGAACCAATGCAAGCCAGTCCAGGAGGCGGGGGACCCTGGGAAGCCACTCATCACCACAGAGAAGACAAGTCTGCTGTGCTGCTTCCCACCCCCAAGAAGAACCCCAAGGCTCAGGGAGGAGAAGATGTGTCATTTCGCTTTCCCAGGGGTGCAGGGCATGGCGCACACTGTCTGTCCTGCCAACACCCACGATGATAAGCACTCCCATCCATGAGCAATTGATTACCCCATGCCCATGCCTGACATATATTTAAACCTTGCAACAGTCTGGGAGAGGGTGTTATTGTCACCATGTTTACTGATGGTGAAACTAAGCCACAGAGACACCAAGTCACTTAAACAAGCCCACAGTCTAAGTGGCAGGGTCAGATGGGGCTAGTGACACAGCCCTCACTCATTGCCATCTGCAATTCTGCCCCTCTCATAGTGGGGCAAGAGGGCAGGAAGGTGCAGCCATGGGTGAACAGCCCTGGGCCCAGTTCCTCCTGGGCAGAGCCTGGATTCCACCTGCAGCATCTGAGGTCCCAGTGCCAGCGTTGCCAAATAAAATACAAGACTCAGATATGAATTTCAGATAAGCAACGGATAACTTTGTTAGTATAAGTAGGTATTTTTCTTTTCTTTTCTTTTTTTTGAGACAGAGTCTTGCTCTGTCACTCAGGCTGGAATACAGTGTTGTGATCTCGGCTCACTGCAACCTCTGTCTTCCAGGTTTAAGCAATTCTCCTGAGTAGCTGAGATTACAGGTGCCACACCATATCTGGCTAATTTTAAGCAATTCTCCTGAGTAGCTGAGATTACAGGTGCCACACCGTATCTGGCTAATTTTTGTATTTTTGTAGGGATTTCACCATGTTGGCCAGGCTGTTCTCGAACTCATGACCTCAAGTGATCTGCCTGCCTCGGCCTCCCAAAGTGCTGGGATTCAGGCATGAGACACCATGCCCACCTATATTTTTCTTTTATTTTCTCTTTTTTCCACTAAATGTGGCAACCCTACCCCTGTTCAATGGGCTGAACTTATGGCGCAACCCTTTCCCTCAACCTCAGTTCCTCACCCCTGATTTATAAGCTTCAGCCTGAGATCCCCATGTGTTCACATCTCTGGGGGATCTTGGAAGACAGGAAGAGGATTGACCCTTGCCCAGAGCCTCCTCTGTGAGCAGAAAGTTACTTCTATTTTGTAGACAAGGAACACGAGGCAGAGGATGCAGCCCAGGCAGGGCCAGTGGCCAGCGGAGCCGGCTTCCCACATGGGGCCACCTTGCTCCAGAGCAAGGCCTTCCGCCGGCCCCTACAACCCCCTTATAAGAAGAGTCAAGAGGAACAGGAAGCTCTGGGCACGGTACCTATGGCAGGCTGTGGAGGAGGGTTGGAGGAAGCCATCAGACAAGGTCCAGCTCAGAGCAGCACCGTCCCAGTCGCACGCCTGTGAAAAGAAGACCAGGAACCTCATCAGCCAGAGTCAGGGCTGCAGTTTCCGCAACTGAGACAAGTCACTGGCCCACAATCTGTGCTTCAACCCAGCAGCTCTCGGAGCACAGGGCAGCCCCAGAAAGGCCCCAGCCTCCACCCATCATAAATCATTAACCCACAGAAACACCAGCAGCTGTGCAGCCCACTCCCTCTTCCCAGAAACCCTGCAGCCACAGACCTTCCTGTTGCCAGTGCCAAGAGACCTGCAGGCACCTGCTGGGTGTCCCTCCTCATCCCCTCTGGCTTATAGATGAAGCTATGGCCCCAGAGAAAGGTCATGCAAAGTCCCCACCTTCCAGAAATCAGATCACGCCTGTCATGGAGGGGACTGGACACTTCCTCCTCCTGGCTGCCCAGGAAGCACAGGCTCCCTCAGGTCTGCCCACTCCTGCCAGTCCCTTCCTGCGGCCCTGCTGAAGGCCACTCTCACTCTGCTTCTCCCTGTCCCACCCCACGGGTTGACTAGCAGGCAAGGGATAACCTGGCCTTGGCACATGGATGTGAGGAAGGCAATGGCTACAGAGGCCAATGACACAAGGCAGGAACAGAATCTCGAATGTTCAGCTAAGGGGCACCATTCCTCCTGCCCCAAGGTGGCACTGCCCTCCCCTCTCAGTGGAAGCTCACACAACCAAGAGGCTGGCGCCTCCAGGGGGCTCCTGGGCCCTGGAGCCAACCCTGCCCCCCCACTACTGTCACCTTCAATTCTGTGCTGGGGGCTGTCCTCCTAGACATTCCTGTGGAGGAGGGAACACACCCTGAAGAGAAAGCACCCAGCCATCTGGTCTAATCTGCCCAGGCCACAAACTACTGTGTTCCTATTTTCCTTTCCATTCCTAAAGGCTTTATTTTTATTAAACTGGCTTACTGAACAAAAGTGAAACTCAGGTTCATGACAATATTAGTAACAGTAGATATTCTTGCATTGCCAACATCTCAGACGTAATTGTAAGCACTTTAAAAATATTAACCTCTTTTCGTCCAAATTATAAACGAGAAAATGAGACCCAGAATGGTTAAGTAACTTGCCCAAGATCACACAGCCAGGAAGAGCCAGGGTTCGAACCCAGGCCATGGGGCTCTGGAGTGTGTGTTCAGAAGCAGCCACTACACTCTAGCACCTTTCAAGACTCAAACAATGAGACAGGTAGATGATGAAAAGTTAGCCTCCAGGCTGGGCAAGGTGACTCATGCCTATAATCTCAGCACTTTGGGAGGCTGAAGTGGGCGGATCACTTGAGGTCGGGAGTTCAAGACCAGCCTGGCCAACATGGTGAAACCCCATCTCTACTAAAAATACAAAAACTAGCTGGGTGTGCTGGCACACACCTTTAATCCCAGCTACTCAGGAGGCTGAGGCAGGAGAATTGCTTGAACGTGGGAGGCAGAGATTGCAGTGAGCCAAGATCATGCCATGGTACTCCAGCCTGGGAGACAGAGCGAGACTCCATGTCTCATGTGGGCCTTAGACCCACACAGAAAACTCTCAGAACTAAACTGTTACTTCAGCAAAGAGTTTTGGAAAGCAAACTAACATGTCTGCAAACCCCTTTGCAAATTGAAAGATCAAACAGCTGCACAGCAGCCCCGCTGCAGGGCCCCCACCCAGTGGGTTCATCCAAAACTCCTGAGGTCTGCTCGGCCTTTCTCTGAGGGCTCTGGTGCCCCAAGAGCTCCATGAGGGAAGTGGCAGAAAGACCTATACCCATTTTACAGAAGGAAAAAGGGAAGCACGTTGCCCAGCCTCCTGTCCCAGTTGCTCCTTAAATACAATTTGATGATGATATGGAAAGAGGCTGCTACTTTACCCTGGGGCCAAAACCCAGGAGATCCTTCCCTTCCAGGGCAGAAAATCCAATGTCCTCCCCTTTCTTCTCCCTCCTGGGCTGATTCTTGCCCTCCCCTCCAAGCCCAAGGCTTTCCCTAGAAAGGAAGAGAGCCACCAACATGTATGGAACCTGACACTTTATTAGCATTGTTCCATCTAATTCTCATAGCACCCCAACTTACAGATGAGGAAACAGAGGCTCAGAGAAGCAAATATTTGCCCCAGGTCACAGAAGCAAGAGGAGCAGGTGACCACACTGGGATTCCAGCCAGAGAGCACTGACCCTGAAGCCTAGTCTCAATCCTCTGATCACACTGCCTCCCTAGCCTTTGGGCTAGAATCTGGAAGGTGTCCGCTACAGGTTAATGCAGGGCTCTGAAGTGACAGGACAAGGACACAGGCCAGCGAGCTCTGCCTATGACCACCATTTTATACACACAGGCCGCTCGTCTCAGAAGGATGTGGGCAAGGGAGTGGGATGGCTCACAGCAGCCCACTGCCACCACTACAGATCCTCACAGGGTTCAGCAAGAGTTCAGGCTACCCGATACCACCTGCATTCCACTCAGCAGCTATGAGATCTTGGTAAGTAATTCCAGCCTACCTCTGTGCCTCAGTTTACTCATCTGCAAAGTAGGGATTAAAAAGTACCCACTTCAGGCTAGTCATGATGGTTCATGCCTGTAATCCCAGCACTTTGGGAGGCCAGGGCAGCAGATCACTTGAGGTCAGGAGTCAAAAGCAGCCTGGCCAACATAGCAAAACCCCATCTCTATTAAAAACAAAAAATTAGCCAGGCGTGGTGGTGCACACCTGTAGTCCCAGCTTCTTGAGAAGCTGAGGCAGGAGAATCACTTGAACCTAGGAGGTGGAGGTTGCAGTGAGCCAAGATGGCACCACTATCACTCCAGCCTGGGTGACACAGGAAGACTCTGTCTAAAAATGAATGAATGAATGAATAAATAAATAAATACGAATCATTCTCATCTTTAAAAAGATAACTAATAAAAAGGCTTCATGGCATGTCAGAACCAGAAAGTAGCTCCATGATGATGGTATTGCTCTTGCTTTACAGTTGTGGAAACTGAGTCCAAAGGAGGAGGGCACTGCCCACAGCACTGTCATTCTCCAGGCAGTGACAGTGAAGGCCATGGTTAGAGGATAGGATTTGGTGCCAGGATGATTCAGCTTCAAATGCCAGCTCTGCCACTTGCCACAGCAACAATTAATTCCTTTCTCACTGGGATGGTGGGAGTAAGACCAGCACCTGCCTCCTGGGTGTCCCGTGCTGATGAAATGAGGACCCCGAGATGGGTGTGATGAATTCTGCTGTGCCCTGCACAGAATAAGCTCTAGGTAGACAGGGGCCTCTGTTGCCATGAGCACCCTATCCGGGCCATGCTTGGGCGGCAGCATTACAGGAGATTGTCGTTTCTCGGTGGTCACCTTTTTAACAATGACCACCAAGCCCAAAGGGACAGGTGGACACTGAACAGTTTCCCTTCCTGTGTGGAATGGCTGAGGAGGCAGCAGAGCTCAGACAAGGGAGGAAAAACAGAGGCCCCCAGCTCCTGGCTTCAGAGTGTGCCCACCAGAGGCCTGGAGCAGGTTAGGCTCAGTGACGGGAACACTTAGAGCAGCCTGGCATTGGCACCTCCCACTGTATCTTCCAGGCGTGGCTAATTTAATCAAAGAGCTTATCAGTTCCCCTCCCTCTAGGGTTCAAAGTCCATCTGCCCAGAGGCCCCACTAGGAAACCCTTTTCCTGTCTGCCCCTGTCCCATGGGGGGGCCCCCCAAGACCATCTCCCACCCCCCACCCATCAAGTGGCCCCATCCCTCTTCTACCTGAATGAGCCGTGGAGGAAGAAAACACCTGGGGGCCCTGGAAGACTGCACAATCTTGTGCCTTGAGGAACGGGAAAGAAGGCCGGCCTCTGTCTTCAACAAGGTCCAGGCAGAATCGGGGGGAGCAGCCAGCTGGGCTGCTGGGCTGAGCGGGGCAGTGACCACCCAGCCCTGCCCAGAGAGAAACAAGGAATTGGTTCTGGTACAGGCACCTTTGTCAAGCTCTGGCCTTGGAGACCCTCTGTGGGTCCACCTCCAGAAGCAGAAGGAAGGTGGGGAATGGGAGGAAGGACCAGGTGCTTGGGCTGGTCAGCACCAGAGTTCTTCCACGTGTCTGTGTTCTCGGAGAGGTCTCTCTGGCTTTCAGCTCTCATTAGATACATGCTAGGCAACCCAACTGCCACCTCCACTGCCAAAGAGTCCACTCCACAAAAACACCTGCCACGTCACCCTGTTGCTTCCAACCCTTCCCTATCACTCTCAGAATACAGCCTGGGTCCTAAGCAAGGCCTTCCAAGATTCGCCCCCTCCACTGACCTCTCAGGTCCCAGCAGCTCCGGGCCTGGCCTAGTACTCTGGTTTTTAGCTCTATGACCATGCCACCCAACCTGTTCCACATTTCTGGGCCTTTGCTTACGCTGCTTGTTCCCTCCACGTGGAATTCTCTCTCACAACCAGCAAGCAAACACCTATTCAAGCGTCAAAACCCAGACCCTATTTCTCCTCTACAAAGCTTCTTAGACCCATTTCACACGGTTGTTTCCAGTGGTGAAGCTTTTTAAAAAATACTTGTATCCCAGGCTCACACTCGGAGATTCTGATTCTGTGGCTCAGAGGTGTAGCTGGTAGGGGGCCAACAGGCTATTTTCAAAGAGCATGGGTGGTGCTGGGACACGTACACACCTGCAGACACAGCCCCATTATAGCTGTTGCCCTCCCCAAGGGCCTGTGACCTCTCTGAGGGTACTGGACTTCTTTCCATCTCAGCATGGGTAGCACTGGGTCTGGCCTGGGGTACGCTAGATAACAGCTGTGACCTGAACAGGGATTCTGAAAACCTTCCCCTGCTTGGGACCCACCAATCATGGAACCAAAGGGCACAGACCAGGAACCTATGAGGCTGCGACATCCCTGGACCTGGGGAGCTGCTGGTGTGCGGCTTCAGTCCAGAGGAGGGGAGAACAGACGGAAGGTGGGGTATAAGCCCTCCTGGTGTCCCCTGCCTGTCTGAAAGCCCAGGGCCCAGAAGGAAGAGAAGGGGATGCAAACTGCACAATG